ATTCTTCCTTGGCTTCTCTTAGTGAGCATCTGAGTATAGCGGTGGAACGGCCTGCTGGACCGTTGTACTTAGTTGAGAGGTGGAGATCGCACGTTCAGTGCTGGACGTTGGCGGAATCCGTTGGAAGACTCGAGTGACGGGGCTGTTGAAGTCGGACTTTACGAGCCCGCTGTTGTATTGTCTTTCGGTCGACCCCGTGTAGTGGCCAAAATTGTCACAGCGAAACCTCCCGGTGGACAAGTTCACACAGTCGACTGATCGACTTGTAGAAGGCGGGATGTGAATGCTCATGTAAACCTCTTCCCATACCACCCTTGAGCGAGATGGCCCAAGTGGTTAGAGCGCGAACTTACTGACGGAGAGGCCCGTGGCTCGAACCCGACCTCTGCCTCTCGAATTCCCCTGTCTAGGCTTGGGCAACCTGACAGTATCCCAGCCCTCGTGCAACCTTCGGGTGACATGGCAGTTAGGCATCGAAAGAGTGCCACAGCTGGATGGTTTTTTTTTACCACCCTTGAACAGCTAGTCTCACGCAGCCTTCGTTAATTGATCAGTAGTAATGGCTGCAGCGAATATCCCTCCTTATGAGTCGAAACTGACCTACCATTTTCAACAATTGTTCGGTTCATAAATTGCTTGCTTGGACCAGTAGTTGCGGATGTCCTCGGTCTGGATAGCCCCGCTCTGTATCATGCCTTAATTCGTCCTCGGTATAAAAAACCGCAATAACTCCAAGTTCCCGGAGTATATGTCAAGTGTAATTGCGATTGCAACGAAGCACTCTGAATTCAAGAATGTAGGGTGTAAGTCCCTTAAGACTGTGGATAGGACAACTGATGATCACCTGCAAAATGTTTTGAACTTCTTCACTGCATCTTCCTCAAGCCGCTCTACCCTTCTGGTATGTGATCAGTTCATGTGTCATTGGTGAGTTAATTACTTCGACATACTTCAGCATTATTGGTCTGGTGTTCTCACCGGACTTGGATAATGCTCCTAAGACATTGATGATGAAAACACTAAACTTTTCGACGTCCTCTGGACGAAGCGGCAAGATCTTTGGCCCATATAATAATATGGAATGCACTGCGGCATTGTAAACTCGATCAGTGGCGGACGGTCTAGTGTCAGGCCTACACCACAAATTTGCCTACTACCTCAATTGGCTCATCCGCAAACATGAGGTTAGAGTTCGAGCCCACCCTGCTTTGCGTCATCACTGTACACCTCACAGGTGTAAAGGGCATGCCAAACCGTGATGCATGATTATTTAGATTACTTAATGTCGTCTGCCTTACGACGGCGTCAGATGTCATCTTCGCATTTGATATCTGTGAATGAATGCCCTCAGAGCATGCCGACGTCACGGGCTTTAGTCAAGTCATTGGCGAAGTTAAAGAGGAAAGGTGAAAGAAGACATTCTAGCCCTGTCGTAGTGAACCCATATGAGAGCCTCGCGCGGGCCCTTAGGTGTTCTCGGGAGTTGGCTTACGGCGCTTTAAGGGGGGGGGCATGAATTTACGAGAGATATTTTTGTTACATAGCCGCTACCATAGTGTCTGATGGTCCACACAGTCGAAGACAGTCTCAAGTCGAGGAAGACCTCCATTGTTGGTTGCTGTAAGCATTGTCACTGCTCAAGAATCTGTCGGGGGGCTGGTGGTGTAAATGAGATTGAGTGCCGCTGAGGCCCGATTGGTTGGTTCTGTTAGTCCGAAAACGGAACCTACGGATAACGGAAATCGTTCACTTCAGATGTGTCCCATCACAACTTGCAGTACTAATTTCCGGAACAGCGGAAAGCACTTGACAAAGTGGTGCCCATCAACAAACCGGTCTCAGATCCGAACTGACCACGCCGTCAGTTATCGATGGCGTGGGTCGATCAATGGTTGGCACTCCTGATGTACTAACTCAAACTCCGACCATGCACTTGTGCGCTGCTGCTTCTCATCGCGCTTTTCAGGTCTACGCAGAACGCGGACACCCTTCTCAGGCACTGAGAAGCTTGTTGACCAAGAAATCAAACCAAATTTCCAGGACCGTCTTTTTGAACGCCTGCCAGACTATCAGATGTCAGATATTAATGGACACTACAAACAGATATCTACAGCGCTACGGAGAGCTAGAACTTTAGTCTTCGGTACAACCCAGCCAACCTCATTCAAACATTGGATTTCTGATAAGACCGTGGATTTGTTGAAGGCCCGTTGACAGATCCCTTCTGACTGCAACCACAACTCATCCCGGAATACCATTCGACGCCAGGTAAAAGAAGTGTCCCTACAGACTGTGAAGCTTGATGGACCCGAAAGGCCGAATAAATCAAAGATTCGAAAAATGCTGCAAACGTCTGCAGGCTGTTCCGCTTGATTCGTTCATCTGATCATCAGAAGCCTCTTGTCGGCAAGACCATCAGGGACTATCACGGCTTTCTGATATCCAGTAGAGGAGAACGCTTGGACCACTGGGCACAGTACTTTGCACAACAATTCATTTGTTCACCTTCTACCTTCAATCCGGTCTGCTGGCCTTCAACAGAAAGATGGACTATGAACATGAACCCCCCTTCAGCCTCAGAAATGTCCGAGTGTATATCTCTATTCAAGCGTCAATGATTTCCTGACCCCGACGACGGCGAATTCCTCAGTCAGTGTCTGTGTAGCCTATGTGTGTCTGTTTGGGAGAAAGAAATCTTTCCAGATAACTCGAGTAATCGATGATAGTGCTTGTTTTCAAAAACGGTACTTGCAGTGAATGTGGCAATGAGTTGTTAGTTAGACTCTTGTCGTAACAAGACTTCTAACCTCAATGTGTCTTACGTGACACGCGAATTTTGACTCTTGAGCATCAAGCGGGATTTCGACGGGGTAGATGCTGCGTTGACCACACGTTCACTATCTGTCAGGTGTTGCAACGTCATGTATAGATGACCCATAATCTTGGTATTTCGCTGCGTTGACACACGTTCACTATCTGTCAGGTGTTGCAACGTCATGTATAGATGACCCATAATCTTGGTATTTCTTGATTTCAGTCTTTCAGTGCCGTTGACCACACTTGCTCAAGAAAGATTTCCTTTGAATTTTGTTAACTTAATCTGGTCCCAATATTCACGTACTCCTGAGCATGAGTCATCATCATCATCATCATCGACATCATGACATCGGTGTTCAACACCGATGCTTCAATGCCATACAACCATGATTTGTTTGAAAGCCTTATTGTGAAGAAAAGAATAAAGGTGGACGGGGGAGGGACTTAGTGTTAGCTTAACACAATCATTCCGAGGTGCCTACACCTCCAGACATTCCCTCAGGCAATCTGGATAGAAACTGACAACAACAACGCCACTAACACCGGTTAGAAGCCATNCACTGACATCGGTTGGCAGCCATATCTTGTAGTGTCTCCAACCAGGCACAGTGAGGATCACGCGGTCCCCATCCTGGAAGGCGAGTAGCACCGACAGCACCCAAACGTTTCGTGATTTCTTTCATACCCTTTGCCAGGTCAAGGGTTGGCCACCTCTCTGCTTCCGCCACTTTGAGTTGGGCATAGAAAACGTTACTCTCTTCGGCGAACGATGGCTAGGCATACGCAACACATGTCCCAACGAACGCAGCTTCTGGTGCTGGACACATTCTTTAATGGAAGTATCCGTTGCACAACCGAAAACTTGCTCTTTAATTGGCTCGTTACGGATACGCGGACACCAACCCACACGATTGTCGAACACCTGAAGACGTCTCAGTTCCGCTGCTCGAATAGGCCAAGTCTCACAGCCATACAACAAAACAGCCCGCACTGTAGCTTAATACACGAGTCCCTTGAGATTCAGTGATACACCACTTTGACGCCTTTGGTATCTCAAAGTATCAAACGTGACCAGGGCCTTGCAGATTAGTGCATTCACCTCATCTATCACGCTGCAGTCGAAACTAATACAACTTCCAATATACGCGAAACTCTCCACACCTTCCAGTACCTCTCTCTGGATTGTAATTGGCGCGTTCAGTGCATGTCCACTAGCATGATCTTACACTGTGGGTGCAAAGTGCATACCAAGGACGGATGACTTTCGACTGGATAACCATTGACGGTGACTGTGAGATACGTTCGGTGACCTGGGGTGTTGATGTGGAAAGCAGCCAGCAAACTGAGAGAGGAGCCAACAGGATTGGGACGGACGCGTGATGACGGCTTTGAAACACCACAGGCGGTATGCGTCCGTGACTGACAATACCCATCTTTATGTCCCACGGACTTACATTGGCGGCACCGATGCTGCGTGTAAGGACAGAACATGACGAAGTACCAGGCTCCACAGTGCCAACATTGTGAAGGTGGTTTCTTCTTTGGGCCTTTGTTTTGCTTCGGACCAGAATACTGCGAGGTCGATTTCGTCGAGCTGGAATTGACAGGTCCAGTCTGTTGCGTAGCGTGATGGACTTCATGAACTTCGGAACCGCCATGATGCTCAAGTTGTACCGTCGCGGTGTCATGCTTCAGGTTAAGCAATCGTTGATATGCTGAGGTGATGGCCTGCAGCGTCATCGATGGGTCTTTTTCGATGCGGCCGAGGAATCGGACATGGATTTCTGCATCATTCGGGGATTGTCGACCGCATATGAAAATCAGAGACTTGAACTGATCTTCCGTTGACAATCCGAGTATCAGCCGTTCGAATTCCCGGTTCACGATGCCAGAATAAGTGAGAAAGTCGTCCGCGTCACCAGCTTTAGGCATCGATAACGGATGTTGAAAACTGACGTTTGCTCGCCAAGTATTTGCGACGGCGCGTGGACAGTTTCATCAAAGGTGAAATCACGTGGGTTCTTTGGAAGAATGTAGTTAGCGTACTTATCATGCTCTGCAGGTCCAAGTTTGCGGAGCGGGAGACGAACCTTCCAACTATCATCCTGAGTTGATAGACCCCAAACAAGTCTTCATAGCGACAAAACCAAGCATCAAACGTTATGCCAACCGAGGGTTTATAGCAAAACCCGTTGCTACTGCAAGCGATTCCGTCAACCGACTATGGGACGTTCGACGTAGCCGGTGAAGCCAAAGATGCAGTTGATAGTCGCTCCGTAAGTACTTTTATAAGTTGGAGTTGTTGCTGAAACATCACTTCTAGTTGATCTGCTTCCATCTTGCGTCGCCAAATATGTTATGGTTCTATCACGCAGCGAGTAATGATAATATGCGCGGACTGTGATGATATGCTATCCCCAGCTATGTTATGTGATTCCGACCCCCAGTACAGCGGAATAGTAAGAAGACGAAGTTTTGGACACAAGTGTAATGCTCCGAAAAACAAGCGATTGACACGTAATAGCGGAATAATGACAGAGCACATATATATCCATAGTTTGGCCTTGAAAATGCCGGAATTTCGTAAGCGAACAAAGATACAGAGTTTCTGGGGATATTGATATCGCCAACACAGTGCCACTGCTTTGTCTGCTATCTAGTGCTTGCGTGCACCTGATTGGGCCGTGCCGCAGGCAAAATTCCAAGTACTTTGCGAAGAGGTGACAATCCCGTCCCAGTATGCGTTCATATCTGATAGTAGAGCGTTTGGAAGAGTCGATTCTGGTAAATTTACCTAACGTCCGGATCTGCCAGTCTCTCAGTTGCCAAGCGATTTGTTCGCACCTTACGTGGCCCAGGAAGAAGCGACTCTGGACAGGTGCGTGATCAGAATCCACAAATATGTTCCAAACCGACCGACAGTCAGTTATTGATCCGCGTCATGGGTAGTTAATGGCGTCGTGATGGATTTGAGTTTGTGGCCGATACGCCGTTGGGGGACACCATGTGGCCAGACGACTTCGGATATTTTGGAAATTAGTACTGCACAAAACAGCCTGCGATCAGCACACAGCAGAAGCGATCGTTCACCATTGTCCGTGCGTACCGAGCCCAATTCATGTCGGCCTCCTTATTGAGTCTCAGATATGCTAGGCCTGCCCACTTGTGCATTCGTTTATCCTGCAGCCAACACGATATCTGAGCTTTTAGCTCGCCGCAACATAAAATCCGTCTTTGACTGCGTCGGAGCTACAGTGAGTTGGGGCGTAAGCGGACACGAGAATCAAACAGCGATCAGCTTCCCGCTTGTGTGACTCCTTGATGGACGTTGCTTGACGAACCGCTCGGCGGTGAATATCATTAAGTATCAATTGAAGCAATGATCCTCCCACCTGGTGACTTAAGACCACGTCGATCCCTGCACACCTTGCCAAAGTGGTCTCTGTATCGTCGGAGATGCGTAACCAGAAGGCTTTGGATAGTGATGAGACAGTTAGCTCAACCACTGTGTATCTTGAATTCTTGTTCCTAATACAAAACACATATCAATGTTAATCAAATCCACTGAGGAAGAGGAGCTTGTTGTCCTGCTAGCTTGGGAGTTCGGAGGCGGAATCAGTCAGACTGCTCGGTAGTCGAGGCTTGGAGATTGATTTCGAGGTGCCAGATGCTGTCTGCACTGGCCGAGCCGCAGGCGTTTGGGCCAAGCGCGATGTAAGACCAATGTGTCAATCAGTTCTAATAGATGGGTTTACAGGGAGAGAGAGGGGAAGGGAGAAGAAAATTATGTTAAAGAGAAAGAATGGAGGCGTCAACAGTAGCGTGTTTTCGCTTACCTACTCTGCTGTGTGCAGCAAGCAAGGTGACCCGGCTGATGACATCGTGCAACTACGGATGTGGCATGTTAGTAGTTTCGGTTGTAGAAATCATGGTTGTGCCTGGGCTCAGATACTGCCGGGACACCCAGACCCAGACAGGTCGACGATTAGGGCCTTGGGCTCCGAAGCCTGACCACAAAGCAGCAGTTTTTAGCGGGAAATGTCCATGCATTGCCTTTTTAACGCACGTTCCAATCCCCAACTTAGAGGGTCGGGAGACTACGTTGGTCAGACATTTAACCATTGACCAACCGAGTATGAGAGACTATGAGTGTTACACGAACACCTCCCAGTATAGTTCTGTGGTTTGCGAAGGCACACGACGTATCACACCGCGGTACGGCACAGATTCACCCTGATGAATAGCGATTTCTCCGCTGGTGGAAATACTTGATCAAAAACCGACCAGTGGAATAGGATTTGCTATCAATGCAATTCAATTCAATTTATCAGCTACAAGCCGTGTGCCATAAGCGCATTGGTTCCAGCTGCTACAGTTCCGATCACCGGAAAACGAGAAAGCGGACCATACAACTAACCCTTCTAGGCGAATGCATGTTCCGCTTGTTCAGAAATCGGGGGTAGCTACGCATTGAAGGCGATAGCTTTGATGCACGAGTGCCTCTGACTGCGCGATTGTCCATTTCCGCCAACGTAATTGACCACTGGTGATTTGAGTCCCGAGGTTCCCATCTAGGGAGGCGGCAGTTGCCCACCCGACCAAGTTTACTGGTTTGTGTTTTCGCACTTTGTTGCTGGGTCACTGTTCACCTCTCGGTCGCTTCCAGTCAGCGCAGGGCTGGGTGAAAAGCGTCTGTGAGGCATACGCTCTTCTGGCACATGGAGTACATGTCCTAACCAGCGCAACCTATGAAGCGCTAGTAATTCACCTGTCGCGGGAGAGTCCCTTCTTCCTAAGACCATCTGGCGCACCTCAGCATTACTAATCCGATGTTCCTACCAGAAATGACCAATGCTGCGGACACGCCAATGATCAAATACTGACATCTTCCGTATATCTTCTGCGCGTAGGGACCACGTCTCTGATCCATAAGGCAGAATGGATCGCACCACTGCAGGGTAAACTCTTCCCTTGACAGACAAACTCACGTCACGTCAGCGCCATAGCTGTCGGAGGTTGGCAAAAGCTGCCCTGGCCTTTACGCGTCGAGAAATAATCTCATCTCCAACCACTCCACCGGAACTTATACAGCTGCCCAGGTAAGCAAATTTATCTGCCACGTCTATTGGCTTACCTGCAAGAATGAGGTGTGGGTTTGATCCCACCCAGTCTTGTAGCAGCACTTTACACATTGCAGATGTAAAATGCATGCCAAACCGTGCGGCAGTCATTTAGGTTAGTCAAAATCGTTCGCATTTGGGAAGGATTTGAACCAAGGGAAGCAATATCGTCTGCATTCTCAATGTCTGTGAGCGAACGTCATGGGAGCATTTCAACTCCCGAGGTTTCATAGGCAGGCAGAGGGATTTTAAGCAGAATATCAGTAACAGAGTTATAGAGGAATGGGGAAGGGTGACAGCCTTGTTTTACACCACTGGACCTGGTGAACTCAGGCAAGAGCTTCCCGTATACTCGTACGTGCCCACAGTTTTCATATAGTGCCCTCATAAGGGAGAGAAATTTAGAAGGGACACTGGTCGTCAGGCACTGCCAATGTTGTTGACGATCGACAAAATCGAAACAGCTTTCAAATCCAGAAAAATGACCAACGTGGGACGTCTGATGGACTGGCGCTGTTCAAGATTTCGTTTCAAAGTAAAGATATGGTTGATACATCCTCGACTAGGGCGTGATCCATCTTGGTTCTCATGAGTCTGTCTCTCCCGATAATCCATCAACCTGCGCAAAATAATGCCAGAGAGCGCCTTAGATACGACGGATACCAGGCTGATACCATAATCGTTTTCACATGACGTTCTTGCTTCCTTTTTGAAAACTGGAATGACGGTCGAGGAGCTCCATTCGGCTGGTATTCTGCTTTCGTTCCAAATCTTCTTCAGTATGTTTATCAGACTGTTCACCAGGACCTCGCCACCTTCTTTGAAGAGCGCGGGGTGTAGACTGTCCGGACCAGGTGCCTTTTCGTGCTTCAGGGTTGAAATCTCACGCTGGATTTCGCTTGTTGATGGTAGGTAGGTGTCAATGTTTCATTCGGGCTCGCTTGGTTCTTCCAGCGGTTGTGTTGAACTGTTCTTGGAAGTACTCAGTGCACCGATTGAGACGGTGATTAAGGGAGTGAATTGCTGTTCGTCTTTTTCGCACATTGTCTCACTGACACCTGCCTTCTTTCGACCCGTCGATCGGATCAGTTAAAACAGGGCGCGGCTTTTGCCTGCAGCGAAAGCTTTCTCCATTCCCTGGGCCTTCGAAATCCACCAGCGTTCTCTGTCATTCTTCAAGCTCCTGATTGTCCGGTGTTTGATGGATCTGCGTGCGCCACCCTAGTCGCTAGTTGATGGAATGGTCTTTCTGGCAGCAGTAATATCTGCTGATCTCGAAGACATCCGGCGTTCATTGGATCTAGTCAGATGGGCTGGACAAACAGTTCTGAAAGCTGACATTTCTTCCTTAACTCGCCTCCATTCATACTCCAAGCAATCTTCGCCGTCCACATGGCTGAGTTTCCAGTAATTTTCTAACCAGGTCAGCTCGATACTCTTCAACCACTGAAACTTGTCGAGGTTGGTGAACGGAGCTGCCCTCTTTCGGTAAGCGTAGTGCTGGCTGAAAGCGAAGTGCTAAACTGGTTCGCACGATGGCTTGATCAGAGTCAAGTTGTGTACCCCAGAAAAAACGACAAACCTTAACTGAGGCTCGGTACTAAAAGCCATATGGTCCAACTGAATCCTCGACTGTCTTGTGGTTTGTGGCATCCATGTAACTCGGTGTGTATGTTTGTGTTGGAACTTTGTACTGGCCAGGAACAGACGATGATCTGCACACAACTGAAGAAGCCGCTGTCCATTATCCGTACGCTCAGCATCGACTCCAAATCTACCACCCAACTGCGCCTCTTCCGGGCGTAGTCTTCCAAATTGGACATTCGTATCACCCACCAGGATTACTGTATCCGTCCTTCTTGCTAAACGAGGCAGTCGTGACTGATCTTGATAAAACTCATCCTCCTTAGTCTCAGAACCGCTATCTTTTGGGGCGTATGCTGATACGACAAACAAACACCATTTACCACATCGACCTGCGTTAATTGAGCCAAACAACCGCACAGCGTAAAGGTGACTGTTTACTGGGATCCAGTCCAGTAAGGCGCTTTCAGCCTTGGAGCTGAGTGCAACTCCCGCACCGTAGATACCACGAGCCATTGCGTCAAGATCACCGGATGCGTGAAGAGTGAAATGTGGAACATCTGGGTTCGTCCTAAGTGGCTTGAGGAGCACGACCGAAGTGGAATCTTGTATGCAACAGACATCGATATGGAGGGAAATTGGGGTTTCGGCAAGGGATGACTGTTGCCCAATTTGACATAGAGTACGGAAATTTAAGGCTGCAACGTAGATCAGATCTTTTGAGGTTAGTAGGTGATTATTTTGGTTTATTTTTCTGGGCGATGGTTGAGACACGGAATAGTGGCTAGGAGGTTGGAAGATGGGTAATTGCCTTGAATTGCACGTTGGTTTGATAGGTAATGAGGGGAAGGCCAGTGAGCGAAGAGCTGCAAGGGCCCAGGCCGAAGGAGGGGGGTTAGTTGAGGTACCCCACCTTGAGCCCTTGATTCAAAAATCTGGCCCGCAAGGCAGTGGAAAGATGGGTTTTGTTCGGGGGCCCTGCCCTAGCCTCTGACTCTAGAGTCTGGACCGCGAGACAGCGGTGGTTAGGGTTTTCTTGGGGGACCCTTCCTGGAGCCGATGACTCAATAGTCTGACCTACTTGGCTGTAGGGAGCCAGCCTGGCCCGAGAGGGCAGGAAGTAGGACATTACTGTCTCACTCCTGATGCGGCTGCGCACAGTAGGTGCCTTTTGAACAGTACCGGGCTCTTTGGTTTCAATAGTATTGAATAATGCGCCGGCGGTCATGATCAACCGTTTGACGATCGGAGTGTGCGGTTCTTGGGGCCAACCTTTTCTAACCTGCCCTTCCATAATTATGGACGCGCTGGTCACCTGGGGGAAACGCCTCACTGTCTCCACACTCCTGTCGCAGAGGACAGTACGACTTTATCTCCAGACCGCCTCGTAATACGATTACTCGCAGTACGGGGACTCTTCTTCGTCGGTCTGCTCCCCGTTGGCCTTCCTGACATGGTTGAACCTTTAGGAACCGAGTTCCAGCCAGTATAACCCACAAGATCATTGCAGCACAGAAGCCCGACCACGAAAAGGTGACAGCTTTGGGTCGAGGATTTTGCCTCCAATTGTTTCGATTTTACCAGATTTCGAAATACTGAACAGTACGGCCCGAATGAGCCATGGATAACCTTGTTTAGTTGATCTGGTGTGCGCGACAAGAACTCCGTGCAGAAACGATCAGGAAATGGTTATGATATCTGTCCGTGTCCTGTTTTTGTTGATTCATGGTCCTACCTGGACGATCTCGAAAACCTAATAACACTACTGATAACAGTCGTCATCTGAGTAGATTCCATTGGATTCACAGGCTGTATAGTAACACATTTAAGTATTGAGATTGTACCAGAAAATTTTATCTGTTGCTGTCGGACTAAACGGTGAAAACGATAGTCCCAAAATAATGTCACAAACGTCCGAAGAACGACGGCTAATTCTTCAAAATTTAGTGTGGCGCCAGAGTGTCCATTGGTGAGACCATCGCACACCCATATGGGTTGTCAAAATGTGCAGTCCATTAGATCTGGTACTGAAATTGAGTAAGCTCACCTGTCTCTCCATCGCTTATTGAATGAGTTACTGAAGCTCTTTGTAAACACACTTGGTAAACAGACCCCCTAAAGTTCACTGAGTGTACTCAATGGGTGCGCATGAAAGAGTGCAAGAGCACCTGTCGACTTTTGGCCGATCTGCATCCACTAAGCACGTGGCAATCTCGTTGTTAACCATCTGATAGTTACAACCCACAAGGTCTTTGGTTCGGCTGGGTTCGTCAGCTACAACTCATGTACCCAATCCATGGTAATTTCAGGTGATACAGTCTTAGTCACTCAAAACCTGGTATACCAAGTTATCGGAGGTGATAGCCCGATCAGCTAATTGATATCGAATCATCCTAGTTGTCTGACGCAGCGGAAAATTTAGCAGCCCGTCATCGAAGGCGATAGCGTTGTTCGGGGGCGCCACCGGCTCCGTGATTGTGTCACGTCTTTCAGTGTTCTTAACCTCATTTTCCACGTCCCCTATCTACCTGATAAGATGCAACTGGAAACGCTTCCAAGCTTTCGTTATCGGGATAGTGAATTTTGGTCCATTTGGACGCCAGTACTGCGTGAGAATCTGCAGCCTCAAGTTTTCCTTCACTTAAATAAATAGTATGATCCGAGTAACTGCGCAGTAACAAGCAATCAAAAGGTGTACAATGAAATGTTAATTTCCTCTTAGTGCCATATGTTCAGGAAGCTGCATCAACCATCTTTACAAGCGACCAGGTCGGTGACAAAGCGATCGGATATTTGGGCTGGCTGTACAACGTTCCTACAGAAGAGACTTGTACAGATCTTCGTGAAAAAAATTGAACTGAGGACCACGGAGGTCGTGAAATCTGTCCGACATGCTCTCCGAACACTTCCAAACGGGAGATTGCAACCACTGTAGTTGGAGAAGCTTTCTTATGGTACATTCGCAGGATGATGTAACATATGCAAAAGTTCTTAGCTAGTTGTTTAGCATCACAGTGTTCTACACATTGCCACATGTTTAGGACAGTCCTCGTGGAGGTACACTGATCCGTTCTATCAAATTCCATGTTGGAGTCTTTGTTTGCAATGAGATGGCGGAATTTCGTTAGGATGTCATTTCCGATCTTCCAGGCGTCAACCGCTATTCATTTGCACCTGCGAGGAATGTTGCTCACGAATTCGGCTCATCTCGTTAGACCAAACCGAACACTAACCCCGCAACAGTCCTATGCACCTCGCATCTTCCGAGCCGTTTTTGCCTTGGCTGGAATGTCGTATGTATTCACTGCTTACCTGCAGTTAAAGCAAAATGGTCGATATTTTGCCGTTTTTTTTTCGGAAGTGGTAACCTGTTTTGGTCTCTGCGTGAAATTCTCTGGAGAACCTCAAATATTATGCCTTGGCCCTTGTGAGGAGTTGGCATTTGCTAAGAGTTTTTATCTTTTCAACTGTTGTGCCCATTTATCCACAAATGTAACCATTGCCAAGTTACGTATGTCTTAACGGATTTTTATCCCGGTCACAACTTCGCAAATTTGTTAATTCACACTTCATCACTTCACTGCTTATTTCAGCTCCGTAAAATGTCTTTAACTCGCCGACGGCATCTCTGCCGATCCCCGTGAACTGACTCAGGAATGCAAAACGGACGGCCTTCTTCGGTAGGCGATTCCGTCAATGGCTCCCTCCCCTGTCCCAAGCGTATTACCATCACCAGACTTTTTCTTACTCCGTTCCGAAAGCTGCGGCGTTCCCGGAGGGATCCACCGAGATCTCCTCCTCTACCTTCTACGCACTCCAGTAATCCCTCAGACTCTGAAGGCTGTTCTGAGGGACGAGCCGGAGGTGGTATGTACACCGAAGAACTACCTTATGATCGATCTGGGCCGATGGAGATGATACGAAATGGCTTCTCTTCGAATGCCTCAGGTTCGTGTATTTTTAATGCAATCAAACTTTCTGAGTTGTTTGAATTCCAACCTCAGGATAGTGGCCATTGTTGCTTTGCAGCAGAACTGTCCTCCAGTAGAAGGAATGTCCTTGGTTTACAACGAATGCGGTCTATCAAGAGAGGGTGGTCTTTTTTAGGAATGGAGGATAGTTCTGCCATATTCAACGGATACTGAGTGTTTCTGGTGCTCCAATCTCAATGATAAGCTATTTATCTTAACTTTTCTACTAAAGATTGCTGACAGCCAGCTAATCATCAGAAATCTTCCGCTTCGAGGATGCCAGCAAGTCCCACCTAATTTGGTTGTTGGGCTAAAATTGTCAGGCTCAACAAACGATGTCACCACCAACTGCACTATCTGAGCCACCAGCGAACACCATAATTAAATACCTTACCGAATGCGGCCCTTCACGAAACAACATAACGGATGCAAGTGGGGCCATTAAAGGGTACGATGGTGATACGAAGGTCTTAGGTTTGCGTTGACAGAACACGGGCTCCGGCGAATATACTCGGCAGTTCTTATTTGTTTATTCTGTCAGCCGTAGCATTATCTAATACAAGTGTCACCAGTTGTGAACAGCCCGACCGTTGATGCGCTTTTCTAACTCCATCCTATCTAGGATTTCCCTTTATTCCAGGCAAATCACCGAAACCTCATTTATTCCCTCCATTCGTATCGATTAAAGATACGTAGAGTAAATTTATAACTACGGGGTTGAAACCTAGTGTCCCCAAAAGGATGTGTTTTCAAGAAGAGCAGAATTTTGGCCGGTTCTTTTTTGGCGGAGCACTGTTCTAAGTGTGAATTGATGGATGAGGTCTGACATGTTCATGGTTTCAAGTCAGAATTGCAACAAACCTCTCTGTGCGTTATACTCAGCTAAGAGTGCAGAGAAAGGCTAATCCTTTGCGTTCACAGTCATCAATAATCATTTTCTAAGTTATGCCGAGGTTTTGTCGTACAACTTTTACGTCTCTCGCCATTGAAATTGTAGCAGGTTTATGGAAATCCCAGTTCGGTTAACCTTCATGGTATTTCAGCGGCATTTTGACTGTCTGGCTAGTCTCTGTCACTGTGCCTAAATATGCTGTGAAGTAATCGATCCGGTTTGTATTCTGATCACTGATTGTTTTGGCATTTATTGAGCAGACCTATCAATATTTTCCGCCTTTAGTTTTCTAATAGCTCTATACACCGCATGTTTTTAGGTTTCATTCAAAAACTCAGGTTTAACCCGACTTTCGCGTATTCTTTCTTTCGAAACTTGTCGGCTTTTTGCCATCGGATCACGGACCAAGCCTACATGGAGACTACTGGGCCTGTCAACCGGATGGAACAACTATGTGGGTCAGAATAGGCACATATCGCGCGTGGCCCTGCTCTAGTAAAGTTACAGTTAGAAACCTGCAAATTTCCCATTCGGCTTGCAGTTGGAATTTTTTGGGCTCAACAGCAGTGAAGTACTAGTGTTCCCTGCATGTGAAAGTTCACAATCTCTATTTTCACGGCTGATACCGAGTGGTTTCCAAGTTGAGGTCTCGAACTACCGTACCACTGACAAGAAAGCCGTTTTTACATGCTTGACCGTTC